GAGAGAGAGAGAGAGAGAGAGAGAGAGAGAGAGAATTTTTTAATATTTATCTATTTTCTTTAGCTTTTAGCAGACACAACACCTTTTTTTGTATGTGGTGCTGAGGATCGAACCCAGCGCTGCGTGCATGCCAGGCAAGCACGCTACCGCTTGAGCCACATCTTGCTTTTTTTTTAAGTTGACTAACAATGTGTATTTTCCCTTCAAAAGGCAGTGTGATAACAATGTTAAATACTATCTTCTGCTGGAGGTAAACCATGTGCTTTTTGACCCCCGGTACAGCACCTTCACTGCTTTTCTGCTTTTCTCACTCAGAGTCACATTTAAGATATCGCCCATATTTCTCATTCAATGTCACATTTTCAACATAGTCCTCCTGACGGTCAGTTTTGAGGGCAGTGGAACATCTCACCAAGGAGGTGTCACTGCTTTTAAGCCCCAGATTAGCAAACCATGGCTGGCCACATGTTTTTATATTGTCTTTGAGCAAAGAACGACTTTGTATTTTGAAAGTTGCTAAAGAAAAAAAATCACAAGTATACTATTTTTTGATGCATGAAAATTACATGAAATTTAAGTTTTGATGTCCCTAAGTAAAAGTTGGTGACAACACAACCGTGCCTGTTCCATGAGTTCTTACAACAGGGACCATATGGATCACACAGTCAAAAATGTTTACCATTGGGCCCTTTGAAAAATATTTGCTGACCTCTGATTTAAACCTTTCACGATTTACTGTTGCAGATAAGACTGTTTCTGTTGAATCTATCTTTAAACTTATTTTCTAGGAATGAGATTAATTTTGGAACCAGACTGCCTTTCACTGTTCACAATGAAATGCATCCAGTGACTCTTTGAGTTTCCCCACCGTTGCATAACTTTATTGAGTTTTAATATTTCCTTCCAGCATTTGCATCCTTTTGGGTTATTTAACAATTCTCCAACACTTCCTTTCCCTCAAAGCCAAGAAAACAGATATTTAAACCACCAAGTAATAAATTCTGACGGGACATTGAATGTTTCAATGTGCTTCCTTTAAACTTTGCTGAGGTTCTCGCCTTGGGCCGTTGTTTCACAAAGTGCCCTCACACAGTGACAGGGACACTTCCTCTGGTTCTTTTGGGGGTCCTCTGCATTCATGGCTGTTCCCTACTGCACTGTAGCAAAGGTCCCTGCAGTTGCCCAGCCCAACTCCCTTGTGTGGCATGCTGATGGGTCTCCAGGTGTCTGTTCCTTCCTCTCCCTTTAAATAAACTAGTGCAGTGGTTCTCCCACTCAAGTATGCATCAGAATCACCCCGACAGCTTGTTAAAACCCTGGGTGCTGGCCCAATCCCCAGAGTTTCTGATGCAGTAGGTCATGGATAATCTGCTGATAAACTGTGTTTTTAGGGACCACACTTTGAGAACAACTGACTAAGCTCTCATTTCTCAATGTGGTTTTTGCAGAAACCCAAAGTGCAAAAAAAATATACACCAGGCCTCTAATCTGAGTTGTTCCTACTGCCACACCTGGGTTTTCACTTACAAGGAAGGAAATGGTAGGAGCATCCCTTAGTGTAGCCTGAGGAGAATTTCCACAGCTCTGGCCACATGGAGGGCACAGTGGATAGTGCTCAGAGCCATACAGGCTCGGATTCAAATCATTGCTGTTTAGCTTCCATGGCCAGGTCCACCAGTTTCTGTAACATCTTACTCAGCTCCACCCTAGAAATACTGGCTCACAACCCGTGTGCATATTGTGAATTAAAACAACAACAACAACAATGTCCTTCTGTGATTATAAATGCTAGCTGTAAAACTCAGGTAACTTTGGGTTCTCTCTTATCTTCTCAGCCTTGTGTCTTAAACTCAGTCTTGCACGAAGATTCTGCAGATAAATAATGAGCCCTGCCATAAATTGCTGTGAACATACTTTATATCCAGAGATGCAAAAAAAAATTGTGCTCTATATGTGTAATAAGGATTGTAATCCATTCCACTGTGTCGTGTATTTAAAAAAATAATAAAATCAATTAAAAAATACACCTGCACAGGGTAAAGGCCATCCTTGGTGGCCATGGCAAATTAAGGATGGGTATCAGTAGAAACCAACCCTGAGATCTCTTAAGTCTAGGATCTTGGACTTATAGCCTTAGAATGGTATGAAAATAAATTTTCTTGTTTACATAAAAAATAATAATAATAATAATGAGACCTGCAATGAGGCAAAACACAGTTCCCGGCACTCAGCCGGCTTTGGGGAAGTAACCTGGGTCTGAACACTTCTCTTTTCAGGGATCGATCTTGAGAACATTGTTTACTACAAGGACAGCACCCACTATTTTGTCATGACTGCCAAGAAGCAGAGCCTGCTGGACAAAGGTGTCATCATTAATGTATGTACCTTGGCTCATTTCTCACCTGCCTTTCCCTTTGTGACCTGGGCTGGCAGCACCAGCAGGTGTGGGAGAAGACATTCTCCTGCCAGGAACTGAGCACAGGGAGGAGACAGAAGGGGCCTCCCACTTCCCCCATTCCTCGCCCTTCTCCTTGTATGAGTGCTGGGTAAAGGAGCCATGCCCAGGCCTGGAGAGAGGCTTCTGCAGAGCTGTGTGCTGGTGTTAGTGTGGATCAGCCAAGTCTTCACTAGAAGGTCACATGGAGACAGATGGGGGCTGATTGTCCTGGTAGAACACAGAGATGCTTTCACTTGAAAATTTCATGCTGTGTCCCCTTGTTGTGGAACGGGGGAAAGCTCACTATTTGCCACATACTAACTCATAATCAACTGTTCATTTTTTATTTTCTGAAACTCAGTCATCCTGTCTACAAAATAGGAATGATTTCTATCGGAAAGGGTTCTTGAGTGGAGTGTGTGTGTGTTTCAATGTATACATTCATACGTGTACACATACATACGCACACACATGGAGCGCCTGGCATGTGATGGGTTTGCAGATTCCCTCCATAACTTCTCAAACTTGTTTGGACACCCACTTTTTTTGTCCTGCTGGCTTCCTGGCTTCTGCTTTGTGGCTTTGCATCTTCAAGGAACAAGGTTGGAGGGAAGAGGCATATGGAGTGGTGGGCCCTGGACTTGTAGCTCCTCTGGTCAGGTTTTAGCCTTCCCAGAGCCCCTGTTCTCACCTGCACCGCCACCACTGCATGCTCAAGATAAGCATCGTGCAGCCCCAGGTCAGCCTGCTCCCCGATGCTGGCCTACAGCCCAAGCAGCATGGTGACTATTCATTGCTGCTTGTCAGAGAAGAATGTGCCTCTCTTCTCGCCAGCCTGTGCTGGCAGCCGGCCGGGTGGCATTTGTAACCCAGCCCTCCCCTGGGTCTCCTCCACATTGGCTCAGGCCTTTGCTGAGAGCCTGGGTTGTGGATGGAGGCTGCAGATGGGGGCTGCCGGGTGAGGCTGGCTGAGCACACCCTCAGAGGTGCGAGCGCTGGGCTTCAACAGCTGGTGTCCATTGCCCAGGGGTCGTTCTAGGGGTCGTTCTGCTGCCCTACAGCTGGCCCTCCTGAGGTTGCCCCCTGAGTGTCTGGCACTGGCTGTCAGAAGCAGTGCAGGGCAGGGCCAGCGTGTGGGGTGCAGGTGCAGTAGGCACCTTTGCCGGAGTGTGACTGGGGTATTGCGTTTCACTGTCCGAGTGCCCCACACTCCTGGGATGCTAAGGTCACCTTCAGGTCATCCCAGGGCATGTGTCCAGGCAATGACATGTTGCTCAAGGTGGCTAGATTCCTTGGCAGTCATCACAGCCCTTCCATGTTCCCATCTTGGGCTCTGTTTCATGGTGCAGGTTCCAGAGTATGATCTGCTCTGCTTGCACGGTGGCTTTGGGGAGCTGGGAGTGGATCCCAGGCCTGTGATGACCTCTCCAAGGCCTCTCCTCCCCCCGAGGACTCCTCAACCTCCTGAGATGGTGCCAAGGGCCTCAAGGGCCACAGCACAAACTCACATCTAGAAATCGGAGGCCATAGGCTGGACCTGGGAGAACAGGACTCTGCTTGGGATTGGGAGCTCTGGCCTGAGTTTCCGGTGTCTGGCCAACTCTACGGCGTGAGTGTGGCCCACCTACCCAGCCGCTCACGTTGGCATTCTTCTCTTGCCCCCAGAGAAGGGACAAGTCCTCCTCATTATCCTCTCCCTATGTAGGTCAGCATTGTCCTACAGGTGCCCCAGGTGCTGCATAAGTGTCTGTTGAATGACTGACTGCCCTCTGGACAAGAGATCTCCCTTACCTGGGTCCCTGTCTATTCCAGCTGATCCCTGGGCTTCCCTTCATGGTTCTTAAAGGGAGAGTAAAATTTCTCCTCTAGAAACCCTGCCTCTGGGCTCCCAGCTGTGTTGAGCTTTCTCTTACCCCAAGGAGTACACCCATCCCAGAGCCTCCCCGGGCCCCTCTTCCCTGGCCCATGCCCACTCAGGCTGTGGTCACCACAGGCAATTCTCACTACAGTGTGGCATGGGTCCCCATCTGGGCTGTCTCTGTGCTGCACCCTGCCTCCTGTGAAGGTTTGGGTGGGCCTTCCCCCCTTCTCTTCCATCCAGCTCAGCAATGGGGCAACTCTGCTTCCTATTGGATGCCTCACCCTTCACTCATTTTTGTGGCTTCCCTCCCCCACTGTCCCATCTCTCTAATTTAGCATCCAGTCTCCCTTCAGTCTTTCCTACAGGCCATGGAAAATCAGGCCCAAATGTGTCCTCCTGCCCCACTTTTACTGTATTTTAGAACAACCACCCCAGGCCTGCCCACTTCATCTAAAATCCTGTTCCCTGCCCTTCTGCCCTGATTTTCCTATTGTCCTTGTTCTTACCTCCTCTTGAGGGTTCTGCCTCCAACTCCCTTGCCCAGGACTCCCCTCAGCAGCATCAGGCAGTGGGGGCTCTGATTCAGGTCCAAGCCCAGGTCTGCACCCTCTGTCACGTCCCCACATTCCTGCTTGGGGTCTGCACCAGGCAGTATCTTCACTGTAGTGTGGCACCACGTGTAGCTCATGGTCCCCCTGAGGGGGCCCGGGCATGTTCTGAGGGGAAGTGTGCGTGTGCCCCCTCCATGCCATCCTCCTGCATCTCATCATCACTCCCTCCAGGGAGGCCAGTGAGCATGGGACCAGGAATAGGTGTCAAAAAAAAAAACAAAAAACACCCAACTAACTGCAACTCCATCTCAACACCAGGACCGACAAAGGACTCTCGGACCAGTGCTAGAAGCAATTGGGGAATGGTGGGGTATGAGTGTGGACATATTAGAAGTTCAACAAGGTGTTTGAAATGATGGCTCTTCTGAAAACGAAGACAGGAGGTCACTGTGGGTGCAGGTGAGGCTGAGCCTCTTGGGACCTGCAAAAGCTTGTGCCAGCACCTTGGGCAGGTAGAGGTTGTACCTCACCACATGCCACTTTTCGTGTCCCCATGAATTACTGGGGACAGGCATTCCCATCCATTTCCATCCACTTCTCACATACCTGGAGATTTCACATACTTAGTCTCATTCAGTCTTCATGTGGCTCCGTGTGGTAGATTCCATTACTCCCATTTTAGAATGAGAAAACAGAGGCTCAGCACCAAGTTAAACGACTTGCCCAATATAGTTAATGAACACAGAGGTGAAATTTGTCCCATTGCCCTTGCTGACTGCAAAGCCTGTGTCCATCCTATGGGCCACTTCTTCACCCTATGAGGCATATGAGATTTTTTTTTTCTTTTTCCTTTTTTTTTGCAGGGTGGGGGCCGGTACTCAGGATTGAACCCAGGGGCACTTAACCATTGAGCCATACCTCTAGAGCTTTTTTTTATATTTTACTTAGAGAGAGGGTCTCTGAGTTGCTTAGGGCCTCACTAAGTTGCTGAGGCTGGCTTTGAACTTGTAATCCTCCTGCCTCAGCCTCCCAAGCCACTGGGATTACAGGTGTGTTCCACCATGCCCGGCCATGTTTTCTGTGTCATCTTTGGAACGTGGCCTTTTAGTTTGCCACCTGATGGGCAGATTAGTCTCTGGGTCTGGTCTACACTGCTTTCTTCCTTCTCTGACGTCCTGTGGTGCACCACCAGGATGGTTGGACCTCCTCGTCCTCTAAGCTCAGGGTGCTCCACCCCACGCAGGGAAGTAGAATAATGAACACCCTAAGAGCAAAGCCAAGCCATGAGCAGCCCTCAGCCTCTCAGGAAAGGAGTATCTGATTCTGGAAAGAAAGTTTGAGTGTTATGCTGAGCACCCCCCCACCCCACCCCCGCTGTCTTTTTTGACTACTCAATGCAACGTATCTGGATCACATTAGCTTAGCGGAGTCCACTATTAAATCACACTTACTGACTTGCTCCTTTGTCTTTTAATTGTGTTAGAAGTTATCGCAAGAACCAGTCATGAGGAATGTGTTTCTTATTTGCTGTAAGACCATTATCAAGTACACTGCTCATTACATACAACTCTCGGTGCTGGCTGTCAAAATTCCTACGTGAGACAGATCTTTTAGAATTTAGTGCCAGGAAAAAATGACCTCCCCCGAGAAATAGCTATGCTTCCTTCTTTCTGATAAGGAAAGCCCTGTAACATATCACATTTCCCTTTTGCCTTGGATGCCAGGAAGCTCCAAGCCAAATTTGATGCTTAATCACAACCGTGTTAACCCTCACAGCTGGCTGATTGGCTTCCTCCCTATTCCCTCGGCCCTGGTTGTCTATTTCTGTTTTGATTAGCCTCACTGTGTAGGCCTAGGCCAAGTCCTTTTGCCTAGAGAGGATGTGACTCCTACCCTGCAGAGGGGCAGGCTGCTGCACTGTTCTGGTCTTCCCTAGGACTACATCGACACAGAGATGCTGCTGTGTGCTGAGAACGTGAACCAGGAAAACCTGCTCTCCTACGCCAGGGAAGCTGCAGACTTTGCCACCAACTACCAGCTGCCGTCCTTAGACTTTGCCATGAACCACTATGGGCAGCCCGATGTGGCCATGTTCGACTTCACCTCCATGTACGCATCCGAGAATGCAGCCTTGGTGCGTGAACGTCAGTCGCACCAGCTGCTGGTGGCCCTCGTGGGTGACAGCTTGCTCGAGGTAACGCTTGTGTGTGGAGCCCCTCATTCCTGCAAAGAGACAGATCCCTGCATTTAACTCCAGCTGGTAGCATCTGCTGTTGCACAGCTTTGGGAAGGACAGGCTCAGCCAGTGTCAGGACTCTGCCAGGGCCACCTGGCCCCAGGCCTGCCCTTTCACTGAATCCCAAAGAACCCTCCTGCCTACATGTGGGTGGGAGCACTTTCTCTCCCATCTCCAGATTTTTTTTTTTTTTTTTTTGGTTCTGGGAATTGAACCCAAGGGCAGTAACCACAGAGCCACATCCCCAGCCCTTTTATATTTTATTTAGACACAGGGTCTCACTAAGTTGCTTAGGGCCTCACTAAATTGCTGAGGCTGGCCTTGAACTCATGATCCTCCTGCCTCAGCCTCCCAAGCTGCTGGGATTAAAGGCATGCACCACCACGCCCAGCTAGGCTGACTTCTTTGTTGAAGTACAAAATTAGGCAGCCTGGTCTGGACCATTGGGCTGTCCTCAGAGCATGTGTATCGTGAGCCAGGCAAAGACTCCTCACTCATGTGGGTGGCCCTTTGTGACCTTTCAATGTGGAGATCTTTTTAGGGTGCAAGAGAAGCCTGGGAGCCCCAGTGTGGTTTCCCAGCCATGACTTCCCTGCTCAAACCTGCCAGTATCAGAATCCTTAGCTTGAATGGATGTTTTCAGAAGGGATCAAATTTTATCTTCATGTAAGCACGGATCAAACCACGTTTATGTGTTGATCCCAGGTACAGAGTCAGAGTCGGAACCATGCTTTAGGTGCTCATGACAAGTGCGCTGGGCTCAGCTTGGCTGAACTGGTCCTCACTCACCATTGTGCGTGGACACTCTCCTTGGCTCTGTATTTGAGCATCCAACACCCACCGTCCCAATGTCTCTCCCAGCCTTCCTTCCTGCCGTGCTCTGTGCTACACCCAAATCAGATGGGCTCTTCCTCCATCAGCCCCTGAGTTTTGTCCACACTGTTTCCAGAGGGATCATGATCAGACTCACTGCGTACGTGCAGCCCTTCCATGACGTGTCCTTCTCCCCGAGCCCTTGAGCAGTTTTGCTGGCTCATGTCCTAGCGCCCTTTGCAGTTGAGTTTGCGCTACCGCTCTCTGTAATTAGGGCGGCCTTGTACAGTCAGCAGGGCTGCTGCTCTGTCTCTCACTGTCCCACCATTGCCTTTCTCAGGCTGACAGTGGGATGGAAGCTGGCAGTCGTGAGAGTCAACCGGAATCTTGCATGTGTTCTCTTGCAGCCATTTTGGCCCATGGGCACAGGCTGCGCCCGTGGCTTCCTGGCAGCCTTTGACACAGCATGGATGGTGAAGAGCTGGGACCAGGGCACCCCTCCCCTGGAGCTGCTGGCAGAAAGGTGAGGTTTAGAGCAGAACTCCTAGCAGGGGGGTCAGGGGGTCAGAGGATCAGGCAGGAGACGGAGCAAGATTGGCTGTACCTGGGAACTCCGTCTCGTGTTCATTTGCCTTCCCATGTGTGGCCTGATTTAATCATCAAGGTCCCCAAGGACACTTTATCCATCATCATCTACCTCCTTCAGTGACTTTTCCTGGTGGCCAAGGTCTTAGGTCCTGGATGCCAAAGAAAAACCTTCATCTAGGGCAACCATAAACTTGGGGCTCTCTGACGTTGCTCATTCACCCAACACCCAGAGAGATTTACTTACAGGGCATCTTCCAGAACAGTGTTGGGGTTCTCTGACCTCCCTCTCCCACGGCTGAGATATTGGGCTTCCTCCCAGACCCTGGTGCTGGCCACGTGGCTGTGACAGCTGGTGAACTGGGAGAAGGCAGGGCTGGCAGGAAGACAGGCTGCTGGTGGTCTTGGGTGTGGACGTCTGTGGCCTTGGGGAACAGGCCACCACCGCAGGCAGCAGGGCTAAGTGGTGGTCACAGCTAAACCACAGGTCGCTGTGCATCCAGCCCTGAGTCCCAGCCTTCTCAGGGAGGAGGCCAGCATTCCTGCCACCCACACATCCCTTCCTCTTGGCCCCTTTGGCCCTCCTATGTGGCAGATCTCAAAACTGGGAGTGCCAGGCATTTCAGGGAAGAGTTACACACTCTCATCTGGAAGCCCTGGGAGAGGGGGATGGGAGAGGTGGGAGAAGGTGGGGACAAGTGCCTGAGGGGGCCAGAGTGATCCCTGACCTCTGGGTTCTGCCTGTCTTCAGAGAAAGTCTGTACCGGCTATTACCTCAAACCACCCCAGAGAACATCAACAAGAACTTTGAGCAGTACACATTGGACCCAGGGACTCGGTACCCAAACCTCAACTCCCACTGTGTCAGGCCCCATCAGGTAAGTCCATTCCTGGTCCCCGTCTGGGTCAGTCTGGGGAAGGGAGGAGAGGGTCTCATAAAAATCTTAGCACATTCCTGGGACTGAGGCCAATAAGGCCTCTTGGCCCAAGGGTGGAACCAGTTCTTCTCCCCACGGAGACACAGGAGAGCAATATAGACAGCATTTTTTTTCAAACCCACAGAAGAGAACTGGAAAAATGTACTGTGTGTATGCAAATTTATTCATGTATGTGCATATATTTACATGTGTTAATTTGTCACTGTGCACATGCAATACTGATCATGATTTTCTCAAATCATCTACCAGGCCAAATATCTTCTCTTCCTCACCACCCGGGATTCTGGAGTCCACTGTTCCCCCATTGATTCAGAGCCACACAACCCCCAACCTTTTCAGTCAATAGGACTAAGAATGGTGTGGATTTTTTAAATCAGCCAATTAGCCATGTTCACCTACCCCCCACCATTTGGGAGATAACTGAGGTCCCTGTCTAGGACTCAGGTGGCCTGGGTTCCCTTGCTAAAAATCCTGCCATTCATCAATGGAGGGAAGCAAGGGTGGGCAGGAAGTGAGCAGGGCTGGGCTGTGTGCAGAGGCCCCGAGATGGGGACTTGGGGGAGATGGTGGGCAAGCGTGCCGCCTCTTTTGCTCATAGGTGAAGCATCTGTACATCACCAAGGAGCTGGACAGCTACCCTCTCAAGAGAGCGGACTCAGTGAGGAGGTCCATCAGCCTCTCCAGGCGGGGTAAGCAGCCCTGACCAGGTCACCAGGATGGGCTTTGGGGGGAGGAGGAGACCTGCTCAGTGTCTATGGTGACAAACTGTGCCTCTGTCACCTGTGCTTGTGAGACCTTGGGCAGCTTCTTCATCAGGTGGACCAAGAGCAGGAGGGGCAGGACCATTGGAGAGTTAGGGTTCATGGGCATGGAACCCTTAGCACAGGAAGATGGCCTGGGGGATCATTTCATTTATTTTTCTTCCCTCAGTTCCAGCGTGGGGTCTTATCTCCCTAAGTGTCAAGCGCTTCATAGTTCTGATCTTCCCGGGCCTGACACAGTGCAGGGGCAGGTGCTTAATGCCAGGGGAAGGGTGATTCAGTGAGGAGCTTCCCCAGCATCCAGCTTCCCTCAGGTCCCTCCTGCCTAGAGACACTCGGCGGCCTCTGCCTGTCCAGCCTTGCTGCCTCTCCTTCACTAGGCAAACCCAGCCCTCCACAGACCCTGCGCCCTGCTGCCAATAGACTGTTGACTCTAATAAACTCTTTTACTGTTCCACAAATACAGCAGGGTTTTCCAGGTTCTTTGCCATGACAGGGTCCCGTTTTCTTAAAATGACTTCTTCTGTCCGATGAATTCCTAGACATTCTCCAGGACCCAGCTCAAATGCATATCCCTGGACCCTTTCTTTGCAGAGTTCTCCTTGCTGGGCCACCACGGGGCCCACCCCCTCACATGTTCCCACACCCCCACGCATCTCCCTCTATTGTAGCACCACGTCATCATCCCCTAGAAGATGACTGTGTTGTTGACAGGATCTGCATTCCAGCCGCCAGTCTGGGACCTGGCAACAGTGGGCCTTAGGGACTTTACTGGGAAACAACTTCCTGTCCCAGGATCTTGCCCTCCAGCTATCCTCTTGATCAGGCCCCCAAGCAGCAGCCCACGGGGAATTGCACCCACATCCAGCCCCTTCCCTTTCTGCAGCTCTTCCTGCTTCCTAGCCCTGGTGCAAGCTCCTGAGGTCACCCCAGGTCTCACTGCCTGTGCTCCCCTCCCTGCAGAGTCAGACATCCGGCCCAGCAAGCTCTTAACCTGGTGCCAGCAGCAAACCGAGGGTTACCGGCACGTCAATGTCACCAACCTGACCACATCCTGGCGCAGTGGCCTGGCCCTGTGTGCCATCATCCACCGATTCCGGCCAGATCTGATGTGAGTCTGGGGCTCAAGCTGGACCATGGAGAGGAGGGACACTAAGGTGGCTTGGCTGAATGCAGACACCCCACACCTGGATCAATAGTTCTCTGCATGTTTTCTATTTGAGTTTTTTCCTTAAACTTGTGATTTTTCCCTTTGCATGGACTGTTTCATCGGTAATGGGTTTGATCTGTGACCCTAATACATAAGGACAAAAATTGGCTCAGGCTCAATGATTGCCTTCTCCCCCTGCCCTCATCCCAGTTGGCACACACTGGCAATGTGAACAATCAGAGCTCTATCCCCAAGAGAAGAAGTAGGGCAAGACCTAAATCTGGGCACCAGTATGAGGGGCTTACAGTCAAAAGACGTGTGCTGGACACCCAGATCCATTAGCAGAGTGTAGATGGGCAGCCACTTTGTTTCTGGGAGCTCTAGATTTCTCGTCTATAAGGGCAGAATGATGGCAAAGTCATTGGGAAGACAAGATTACATTGCGGAAACACTTTGTGATATCCAAAGCAGGACATGTTTATATTGACAGCAGAATAGCCTCACAACCCATGCAAATCCATCTGAAGAGGCTGATGGAAATTACCGAATAGCATTGATCCACACCTTTAGGAATCAAGATTGCCATGAGGGGGAAATGGGAATCCCACTTTTTAATTTATGTGGTGTATATAACTTGGTTTCTAAAAAAAAAAAAAAAAAACCCTAAATGCTTTTTTAATTAAAAAGTAGAAACAGAAGGGAAATGATCATAAGTAGCTCATTAATTTCCCATTTTCTTAGGGTAGCAGCTCAGGCTCAATGCATGATCATGGCGCCTGTCTGATTTGGTTCCTCCCAGACTGAGAAGGGTGGGGCCAGCCTCTTCAGGTCTGGAGTGGTGGTTGGGGCTCTGGGACGCGGGCTGGGGTCTCTGGAACCTGGCAGAGCGTCAGCCCACAGTGCTCCTCACAGGTTAGACATCTTCTCACCTCTCCCTGAACTTCTTCACCTTGTAATGATTCTCCAGCAATTTTGACTCTCTGAATGAAGATGACGCTGTAGACAACAACCAGCTGGCATTTGACGTGGCCGAACGTGAATTTGGGATCCCTCCAGTGACCACCGGAAAAGAGATGGCATCAGCCCAGGAGCCAGACAAGCTGAGCATGGTCATGTACCTTTCCAAGTTCTATGAGCTCTTCCAGGGCTCCCCGCTGAGGCCCATGGGTAAGCACCTGCACGGGATGTGGCCCAGCCCCTTGGGCCACCTCTACCCTGGAGCCCAAGTCTGCCTTCTCCTAACACTTCTGTCTTCTGCTCCAGAGCTGCCTGCTGCCTTCCCTTTGACTCTGAGGCCAGCAGGGGCGACCTCAGTTTGGGGACTCTGTGTGTATCAGGGAATCTGCATAATAGGCACCATTTCCATTATGGGAGGTCACGATAGGAACCACAACAGCCCCCTTCTCAGACTTTAGTCCAGGGTGAGGTAACTCTTTTAGAGGACCTTGATATGACCACACCCCCTGGTTATATTACCTCCTGGGCCCAGGCTCCAAATCTCAGTTTTGCTTGTATTTCCCAACAGAATCTTGGCGCAAAAACTATGGAGAAAATACAGACCTCAGCTTGACCAAATGCTCCATTTCGAATAACTATCTCAACCTCACATTTCCAAGGAAGAGGACTCCACGGGTAAGTTCTGGCCTGGTTTTTATTTTATTTCTCATGGCACATGGGTGAGGTTAAGAGGATGGAGAATTTCAGGCCCTTGGTCTATTTGTGCTAACAAATTGTGCCGATTAAGCACTCACAGAAGATGTGCATAAAACTCAGTTGGATAAGAGAGTGTTTCTGGAAGTTCTTCCTGCCAACCCGTTTCATGGACTTAGTAGTTACAGGAGGGGGTTGGTGGGCAGCAGAGAGGACATGTTGGTGAAGAGTTTTGTTTTGTTTGCTTTGGACAGTGGTGGCATGGAACCTAGGGGTGCTCTACCACTGAGCTACATCCCTAGCCTTTTTCTTAGTTTGAGACAAGGTCTCCCTAAGTTGCCCAGGCTGGCTTGGAACTTGTGATCCGCCTGCCTCAGTTCCTGAGATTACAGGTGTGCACTGCTCTGCCAGGCTTTGGTGAATATTTTTTAAAGTAAACCAGATTAATGACTCGGGCATCTTCTAGGGGTGGAAGTGAGGTGATTTCTCACTTTGTCCATCAGGGACCTGATGGTAGAAGTGCGGCAGGGATGCTACAGGTACACGACATTTCCGTTCATTTTATTTTGTTCATCCATTCAACAAACATTCAACTCTACTAGATGCCTACCACCGTGGGTAGTTTTTAGTCTTTCAAAAGAAATTCTAATAGTTCTGCTTATATGGTGAGTCCAGGTAAATCAGAGTATTTTACAAGAGGTCTGACAGGTATCATCGTGTTTCTCTAGAAAATTTAAAATATCCTGTGGCTCCTCTGTGAGTTCACTGTGGTGTCACAGGTGCCTTGGTATACAGTCTGAGAACCACAGACCTAATGGGCAGTTGCCATGTTAATTGAACGATAGCATCTCCATGGGAGACAGAATACAAGTTTTCTTGCTTAATGTGCTCATTTTACAGATACAAATAAGGTCCGGTGCCCTGACAAAGGTCACACACTGCTTAGCTGTACTTCATTGCTTTGCCCCTGTGCCACGTGTCCTTTGCCACTCATTAGCTCATTCATTAAGAGACATTTATCATGTATCCAGTGGTAGGGCATGCAGAAGTGATGTGATGCTTGACCTTAGAGTCCAGCTGGGGAGTTCAGGAGAAGTCCAAGACCAAGGTTAGAACCTCCGGGAGCAAGAGTATTTAAGGGACTGGGAAAGGGGTCAGGAAGCCCAGGGAGGAGACTGTTTCTACAAAAGAGGCCCCAGAAGACAGTGTCTGGACAGAGAAGCCAGGCAATGTGAGGACAGAGGGCAGGCGACAGAATCTGGACGTGTTGGGGCAAAAGGCATATGTCAGAGGACTAGGACTGGATTGTGAAGTTTATGGGATGGCTGTGGAAAGAGATGAGCCATGGGGAATGGGCCAGAGGGAGGCCCCTGGCTGGGGCAGGGGTGCTGGGGCAGTGCGGTTGAAAGCTCCGCGCCCAGAGCTCACCATCTCTCTAGCAGGATGCAGGCCTCCACATGTCTCCCTGCTCTCCAGGTCCATCTGCCTCCTCCTGCCAGCCCGTGCCCAGGGTACAGTGGGGCTGCCCAGCCTTTCTTTCTCTGTTATGTGAGTAGTGGTCACTTTCCCACTGAGACCTGTCTCCTGCTCCCTGGAATGCTGCAGTAACTATTTTGGATGACCTGAGGAGCAGGAGGCTTCATGCTCTGCCCCTGGCTCTGGGGAAGGACAGGCCAGTGAGGCCAGGGCTGCTGAAGGGAGGATTGAGGCATTGAGGATTCCGGAGGGGGGGGGGATGATGAGCTGCACCAGCTGCTCTCTGCCCACTGCCTGCGCTGCCCTGACTCACAGCTCTCTGTGAGTGCTGTGCTGCCACCCCCACCCCCATGTGTCCCACTGAGCCAGCACAGTGCCCCGCTCTGAAAATCCACTCAGCCCAAGGACCTCTGCTTCAGGCCGCTCTGTTCCCAGCAAGCCAGGGTGATCTTCCTGAAAACTCTCAAACCTTTCAGTCACCACACCTTTGTTTGCAGAGTGACACAATTGAACAGCCGGCCTGGCGCTGGCTCAGGGGTTGGGGGTGGTCACAAGGCAACCAGCCAAGCCCTGGATGGCTGTTGGAACCTCATTCCACCTCCTTCTGACTCTGCTCGGAATCCCTGGGGAAGCAGGGGGGCTCTGCCCAGCCCAGCCCTGGCTCATTGAGGACTGTGTCCACCTGCAGGGTGTGTCCTTTGGCTGCCCAGCTTGAGAAGGGTCAAGCCCCACATGTCTGATCCCACGGCCACATTTAATGTCTGAAACTTGCCCCACTTTTTGGATAGTTGAGAAATTTGGCTATTGAAGTAAGTGCTGGCCTGGGCTTTATCTGTTCCCTCTCAGATCAGTAGACTGCTAACTAGGTGACTGGGTGGATTGGCAAGTCTCCCAGGTCACACTGTGCCTGGGTCACCACTGAAACACCCTAACATGTTTTCCACACACTGAAGAAGCACCTTCTCCCTGTCCTACCAGGTGTTGTCTTCGTGTATCTGGATACATTTCTGGTAGGGGAACCTGTTTACATTGATCTTTGGCCTTAACATTTGCCACAAGAGAAGATGCTGAGTCTACCCCAGAATGATCCTGAACAGGCAGAGCTATGTCAGCACACGTGCACACTCTGAAATCCACACGTGCATCTGCGTCTGTGAGTCGGTGCTCCAAGCTGTTGGTGTAGTTAGACATGCAGAGCACATGCCTTAGTGGAATAGAAACGTAGAATAGGTCACGTCTGCGTGATTCTGTGCCATTAGTCCCCTCCACCCCACCATAGTACATAAAAGTACATCTTTGTTTAGCCACCCTCCCTGTCCTTCTCACCACCCTGCAGAGGAACACCCCGACATGGGAACTGAGCAGCGTGTACACATCTATTTACCATGTGGCGTCTTATTCTGAAGAGGATTCACTGTTGCCTGCTGAGCCAGTCTTAAGACTCTCTCTCCCTCCTGATTTTCACAATTTATATTAAATTCTTCTTTCTTCCCTAATCTTATCTTCCTGATAATATCCAAATCCCAGCAAGACTTACCAACTTCATAAATAAGAGATTTTCTCCATTAAGGATCTTGTTACATTTAGGGGAGTGACTTCTCCATCCCAGGGCAAGTGGTACCCATGGGGTTGACTGGTTCTGAAGACTGGCTGGCCACAGCTGGGAAAAGGAGAGGATCTTGGGGATTTATTCTGGGGGTTTATTCTGCTCCGTCAGGTCTTCTTTCTCCAGCACTGGCCCCCTGTACAGAGAAGTTCATGCAGCACGATTCTCTCATATATCCACATCTGGTCTGCGTGATCCTGTTGCCCTTCCCAGCCCTCCTCTTCTTGACCCTCCTGCACTGGTACTTTTGAAAGAACCAAAGATGTTATTTAAGAAAGTACCTCTTCTCTCCATCCATCTGTCCACTCAGAGCACCTGAGTTCTCTTCTCTGCCCTAGAGATAGAACAAGACGAGCCTAGGATCCTGCCCTAGGGAGCTTATCTTCTAGTGGGACTTGAAATGTCATCAATCCCCTTCCCCCAATTCTCCCACAAAGTCCACCCACCCTCCCACCCAGCAGCCAGAACCCCTACTAGGTTTCTAGTCCTTCTTGTTTCAGACGTTTGAAAGCTTGTGCATGTCAGGACACCAGCGTCCAGGCTGCTTTCCTCTGCACCCTGGCAACCTGGGGTTCTGAGCTGATTTACAGATTGAGAATGCAATTTGAAGCCAGGCAGGCAAACACATATTTAGACATTCTGAGGACTCAGCCAGTATTCCAACTTCTCAACAAGTTCCCATGTGTATCTGCAAAGTGAGATAATAATAGAGACATCATGGCATTGCTGCAAAGATGCTGTGAGCAAGTGCGTACGCAGGTCCAGCCTAGGGAAGCGGCTCCGTCAATGACATTTCCCCTCCTTTAGGGATCCTGGTTAGATAAAGATGCTTATTTTCCGAAAAATAAAAAACTGTTTGGACTGAACCCTTGGTTCTCTACTGCAACCCTTGACAGCAGACAAGCATTTTCATATGTATCTCCTTTGCTCCTCGTGTGAGTTTTCAAGGAAAGCTGGGATTATATTCTCATCCCAATTTTATAGGTGGGGAAACTTGGACTTTCGGGAGAATAAATTTTAATAAATCATATAGGTTGTAAATGTCAAGGCCAGAACTAGAATTCAGATGTTGAAAATCCTTCTACTAAAACTAAACTGCACTAACACCAGTCTAAGACCAGTGTTCTGTTTTGTGATACTGGGGATAGAACCCAGGTCCTCACACATGCTAGGCAGGAGCTCTATCACTGAGCTACATCCAAAGCTGCACTCTGTAGTTTAAGAATTATTTTACATCTGTGACTCATTCATCCTCATAATAGTTTATGTGCTAGATACTATAAGATTCCTTCTTATTAGAGTAGTTAGGTGATTTTTCTAAGATCACGCAGCCAGGAAGCAATGAGTACCAAAACTCAAAAGAGCTCTCTTGCTAATGCTACTGCCCACCTTTGTAAGCATCATAACTGTTGCCCGACTCCACCAGGCCATAGTCTGCAATGGCCAATCTCTATTCCTTTGATCCAGATCTAACTTTCTCCATGTTTAGCCTACACTAGCTAACTAAATATATAGTTTGCTTGCTTTAAGCTAAAATCACATTCACACAGGCAGTATGAGAACGTGGCTATCTCATGCTAATCAAACAAATGATCAGATTGGCAAATATATGCCCTTAATTTTTTTTAAAAGAGGGAAAGCAATTAGTTTAATAAATGCCTTTTGGCATATAGACTCTTTTGAATCCTTGGGAAACCATGATAAGAAAATGTTCTTAGAGTGAGAGGTCTGGACAAATTAATAAGAAAAAAAAAGTAGGCTGTTAGTTTATTCTCACACTCTCTGACTGGCATGATAAGTGTTCACTTCCTCCTGGTACTTCCAGTACTTTGTAGAATGTGACTTTCCAAATTAGATAGGTAAGAACAAAATTAGATAAATCTCTGGGTTTTATTTTCTTAACCTTTTTATGTTTTAACTTAGGCCTTAGTTGAAAATCCATGCTTCAATGATAAATCCATTATGGAAACTAGGCACCCTTCGGGCATGAGTGTTGCTAAGCTTTCCATGTAAACTCATTTTATTGTCCTAAGATCAGGATGGATAGGTCTAAAGAAGTAGAGGCTGCCGCTTTCCACTCCCACCCCCCACACACACCCTAGAAGAATTTAGGGTCTTCCTGGAGCTGCTGGCTGGGCATTCTCTTCCAGGAATGCCTTTGGTGAGCCTGTAGATAACAAAGTTGGATCAGATCTTCACAAGGTTCTGATAGATGGAACAATCCCACCCTGGGCTGTTGAGTATAAAGGAAGCCAGCTTTTCATTTAAGGCACGGGGCGCGGGGGGGTGCAGAAATTCTCAAGATTATAAAGGGTTCTTGTTGGAGAACGTTCTGTACTTTCAGGGACTCCAATGTCAGGCCAGAGTGACTTTTGCAGGCTATGGAGCTGGCGACCCAGCCAGCCTGTTCCTCTAAGACCCAACACTGTTGCAAATAAGGTCATCTGTTTCTCTTGGTGTTCACCCAAAGGTTTGGGTTGAAATTATTTCCATTCACAGAATAATGATTTATGAGAAGCTGAGCAAAATGTTGAAGGGAAGGCAGAGCTCTTTGATCTGTTATTTTATGCTGCCTGGGTCAAATTTTTGAACTAATATCAACTACTAAACTGTGGTTGATCTTTTCTTTCTAAAAGAAAAAAAATGATGTATACAAGAGGAGGGGAGGGGCAGAGGGGAATGTTTGTTGGAAGCCAGTGGGTATATAGTGCCTGGGTGCTAGTTATTACTCTTTTAGGGCTGGCTGGGCATGCACCTGGATTCAAGGTGAGCAGGTGGCCTACAGCTAGCCCTTCCTCCTACATCTGTCGTGGTGCGAAGACTAGGATGTGATCTGGGCCTACAATGAAGGACTCTGCAAAAGTGTAGGGGACTTCCTGCAGAAAGGGACATTCAGTCACTGGGGCATAGCTCTGTGGTCCTGAGGGAGCTAGCCACTGAGAGATGGCTCCAGAGACTGGAGAGGCAGGGTGGAGAGGTCCAGACACAGGAGGCCCCGTGTGGAAGATGGGCTTCCCAGCCAGATGCTCAGGAGATGCTGCCCTCAACCTCTCCACCCAGCCGGCCCTCACCCTGTGTGATCCTCCTCATTCCCTCAGCAGACAGCTGATAGTGCTGTGCCTTTGGGTGGCCTTGCAGGGTCAGTAAACACGGTTTTGCAGATTTAAAGGTTTAGATTCAGGCAGCAGTTGCGAGGGGTTCTCAGTTGGGCAACCATGCACTGTATCTTGCAATCCAGGGATTCTTGTGAGAGTGAAGAGGCTCCATTAACAATTATGCTGAAGAGGGGAAGCAAATTACAACTGTCCCAGGAAAACGGGGCTACATAGCCACTCTAATCCTCAGGCTGTATCTAATGCTTATTTGAAATTTAAAAATATCATGTTAGAGACTGAATTGCAGGCTTAATTTGCTACCAAATCCATGGACAGTTCATTTGAGTCCTGAGAATAATCCCAACAAGGCAAACCAGTGTCGCCTTCTTGTAGGAGAAGGTCCTAAGGAGCAGAAAATTACCCTGGGCTGTCTCCATAAGGCAGCACACTGAGGCCCAAGGGCTGTGACCCCAAGGTCACATTGCAATAGGAACAGTCCCTGCACTATCTGTCACAAGGATTCTGTTTGCCTCAGGATGTTTCATCATGAGCCTTTATAAGGTAATTCCCAGCCCTTCTGAGCAAACCTGCCTCCCTAGGTGGGAGTGGGGGGGTGGGTAATGCTCCCTCCATCATGCCTGAACATACCTCTGTGACAGCACTTGTTATAGTTCAAGGTCACTTATTGCTGTGTCTGCTGTCAGGCAGGGATGCTTCCATGTGTGCTTTTAGTTCAAGGCCAGCACATGGCCTCACGGATATGAGTGGAACCCAAACCCTTGACAGCCCTGAGCTCACTGTGCTTTCTTGGCCTTTGCAGGTAGATGGCCAAACCGAAGAGAATGACATGAACAAGCGGAGGCGGAGAGGCTTCAATAACCTGGAAGAGGTTTGTGTGTGCAGGGTTAGTTTAAACAAAGGCCTGTTTCCTGACAACCAGTGGCTCAGGCCTGACCCACTGTGACAGCAGCCCTGGCCTTTTTTCTTTGTCATGAACCACTGGGTTCCAGGCTTGGCTTGATGGAATAACATCTGGGGTTCTGCTCCTCGATTTTCCCTTACTGGCTCCGTAACTTTGAGAAACATAACTTCCCAGGGTGTGGGTCCTGTCTGTAAAATGTGATGATACATCTGAAATGTATGAAGCTTTGTGGTATTTTTAAAGACTATTAAGAGGTATAGATAGATCTGAACATGTATCTGACCCATATGTTAACCAATATTCAATCACTATGAATAAGTAGGAAGGAGGCACCAGCAGGCTTAATTTAGCTCTCAGTCTTTGTCTTCTTTTGTTTTTTGCACTTTTAAGCTTACATACAAAAGTCCTGGAGCCCACTAGTGTCACCTTCTGGTGAAAGGGAAAATTGCAGGCCATTTTTAAAAGAATCTCTTAATTTCTCACCTGCTTCTGAAAAATGGGCCAATGGGAAGAGTACCAGTTCCTGCTCCTCAGGCAGCAACTTAAAGAGAGCTGAGCTCTAAGACTTTGTTTTTTAGAAGGTCATTCTTATTCCAGGAAAGCAAGCATGCAAATGTCAGCGAAGTGTAGGGTGCCAGCATTAGCAAGCCTATTTACTGGCCAATGTCAAAGCCATGGCTAGAGGCACGGGGGATAATTTGAATAATACATTGATACCTGATTTATAGGACTTAGAGAGACTTTTTTTAAATGGTGAAGAGTTTTTGTTGCTGTATTTTTTAGGACATTGTTGTTCATGTCTGTGATTTGCCCCATCTCAGGACAGGGAGCTCTCTATAACGAATAGAGCCAGGAGGCTTATCTCCGGGGAGTGCAGCTGCCTGCTACTCCACCCATTTTCTCACCAAAAAAAGCCTGGTGTTCAGTTCCCATCTGAAAGATCTGTCCACAGATGTTCAAATCACCTCTGTCTGAAGCCTTTCCAGGGCTTCTCCGGGCTGTGGCTTCCCACTCTCAGCTGCAGTATGACTGAGAAGCCAGCCAGTAGGGAGGTAACCAGGAGGAGGAGCTGAGCTGTTCACGGGGCTAAGGTGCACTCCTCCCAGATCGCAGGTGGCTCTCCACCTTCCTGTACGTGCTGCTGGCCCTTTCCTGCTCCCCAGAAGCCTCCCAGGTTCACTTTGTCTTCAGGAGTCTTTTCCTGCCTTTCACTCTTGACCTCTTGAGGGGCTGTTTACACTGCTTCTGCTACTGGCAGCAAAATTTCTGGAGTGGGAAGAAATCTGCTTTGCATCTCTCCCTCTGAGACGGCTCTGGTCTGTTTTCAGAGGCAGCTGTTTTGTTTTAAGTCAGTTTTATCAAATCAATAATTCTCTCTAAATTCTTCCTACTCAAAGTGTGGTCCCAAGATCCAGCAGCAGCAGCATCTCTTGGGAGCTTGTTAGAAAGGCAGGCTCTGGGGCACAACCCAGACCTGGAATCATATCTGCTTTTGAAGGTCCATCTTGGGTCATTTGTTGAGTACTGATGTCTGAAAGTGCTGGCCTGTGTCCACTGTGTTGGCTGACTTTGATCTTCTACAAATAATGATCTCCCAGTAAACACCCTTCTTCCCTGCTCCAGCTTATACTGATGTGTAGGGTCACATTTCACAATTTGAAGTGGGCCGTGCCCACATGGTTTCCCATGGGGCTGTCCCTCCTAGGGATCCTTCTAAAAAGCAATTGAGCCTAGCTTACTTCTTCCTATGAATTTCTTCTAAATGAACACATCTTCATTTTTCATGAGAATGCTACTGCTATGGGGAAGACCCATTGTCTCCTTGAGAAAGCTCACGCACTGCCCGCTGGCATGGCAGTGCATTTATGTTTCCTGGGTGTGTGGGACGGGATCCTTCAGGAAGGGGGAGCAGCTGGTAATTTTCCAATTTTTATTGGTAAGAGATGACCTTACATGGAACTCTATGTTACAAAAGAGCTTAACTAAGCAGTTGAGGGCTACATCATCATTTGTGAGTCACACACTCCAAAAGGATAGGATAAGGACAGCCCTGTGGATGCCACAGAGGCATCCTTCCCCTAAAACCCATAGCCCCAGTCTAACCACCAGAAAACATCAGACCAACTCGATTGAGGAGCTTTCTATAAATAGCTGCCCAATACCCTTCAAAAGTATGAAGGCCGTGAACGATCAGGAAAGATGAAGAAGTTATCACAGCTCGGAGGAGACTAAGGAGACGTGATGACCACATACAGCGTGGGATCCTGGATTGAAGCCTGGAACAGAAAAACAGACATTAATGGAAAAACTGATGCGATCCAAATAACGCCTACGGTTTCATTAACAGTATCATGCCCATGTTAATTTCTTAGTTTTGATAACAGTACTGTGATTGTTCCAGATGTTGCTTTAAAGGCGGCTGGGTGATGGGTACCGAGGATCAAGCTGTGTGGTCTGTGCAACTTTTATGTAAACCTAAAATCATTTCTAAATTAAACGTTTTTTAAAGACCGCAAACACTGAGCAGTCCTGGTTGAAGTGGGGAAGCAGGTACAGAAAAGAGAGGAGAAAGAAGCTGTGCTTAGCCACACTGACACCCCCTCTTGCTTTCTTCATCCCCACTACTCTTCACCTCTTCTCTGCCACAGAGTGTATTTTTGAAAATTATCTTATGTGGTACTTCTTCGTTATAACTGATTTTTGCGGTCACTGCTTGAATTGAGTTATCCCTCCCATTTTATAGATGAGGAAACTTCAGAGAGGTTAAGTAGATTGCCAAGGTCATGGGATGGGGAAGTCAGAATTCAAACCCTAACTTTCTAACTCCAAGCATGGCTGCCCCTTTCTTCTCAAGGAAGATGTGTTCATTCAGAGGAAATTCCCATGAGAGTTGTCTCTGAGGTTTGCCATCTGCCTCTGCCTTGCTTCCTCACCATGAAGCAGGCTCTGCTTTGGGAAACCAGTAGCCTGTCCTGAGTCCCCAGGCACAGATACCAAGGTTCCAGGATCCAACCTCCAATATGCTCTTTTGACTTTTACAGCCATCAACCTTCTCCAGCCGTAGATTGGGCTCCAATCAAGAGTGCAGCAGCACTAAGGAAGGTGGAAATCAGAACAAAGTCAAGTCCATGGCAAATCAGCTGCTGGCCAAGTTTGAGGAGAGCACTCGGAACCCCTCGGTCCTCAAGCAGGTGAGTCATGGCACTAGACCTGCCTTCCTGGTAACCATTAACCTGCTGGGAAGCCAGCCGCAATGTTCAGGCTAGGGATGGACTGAGCTATGCCAGCCTGGCCTGGTGCAAAGGAATCATGAGCTGCCCAGTCAACCGGCCACAGACTTTTTCATGAGGCCAACTGTTTTCCACTTTGAAGATCATGCTATCCCATTGCAGTGATGCAGCTCTGCCACTGCAGCATGAAACTCCTACACAGGATGCCTAAACAAATGAGCATGACCATGTTTCCATAAAACTTTATTTACAAAAACAGACAACTAGCCAGATTTAGCCTATGGGCCATAGTTTGCCGATACCCGTTTTGCATTAAAGAAATCCATTCCCTAATTTGGTGTCGCTTTAAAACCGTGACTTGATTCGCAGCCAGTTTTGAGATGGTACAGCTTGAGGGAGCTTTGGAGATAGATGCTGGTGTGTGGGAGAGTGTTGTCTAAGTCCATGGTGAGACAGTTCGTCCAAACCAAAGGAAGCTGACTCAGACACCTGCAGGGATCTGAGCCAGCCTCGAAGTGTTTCCTCTCCCAGCCAGCCGGGCAGGGCCACTGCATCTGTCCAGGATTAGTCTGCGACTAGAGCAGGTTGAAAGCTGTGGGTCAGACTGCAGGCCTCCTTGTGACTCTAGCTCCAGGTCTTTGCTCATGGTTCAGTCCACCACCCACCCCCGCCCCCACCGCCAAATTTGACTAGGGATGTTGTCACATTTCCAAAACTTTGAGGAAGGAGCTTCAGTTGTCTATGGAGAAGACTTGTGCCATGACAGAATGGCTCCTTTCGGGAGGACAGACTCTTGGCTAATTAGAATTAGAGGCAATCAGCCTCTTGGCCTTGGTGTGGACCATGCCCCTCCTAGACTAACCAACCCTCCCCAGAACAGACGTTATTATAAGGGGGCATTTCTCTGAGACCTCTAATTCTCTACAACTGCTCTTGATCACCCCTGCTGGGGGCTTGGCCTCCTAGAGTCCCCAGGTGTTGATGAATGCTTGATTCCTCCAGAAGGACTGGAGTGTCCCTATCCCGGAAAGGGCGGGAAGCTTTCCCGTCTCCAGGACCCCGGGACTGACTTTGGCCTGATGTGGGCTCTGGCGGTACAGGACCAGAGCCCAGGGTCTGAGCCAGAAGCAAGGCCTGTGGGATTCACACATTGTCCAAGAGGAGGGGACTCTAGGCTCGGTGTTCATGTGGACAGAGAGCCAGGCCTCCAGTTTCCCAGCCAGGCCTGGCTTGTAGGAGCCTGGCTTGTTGTCTCTCTGCCCTTGCAAACTGCACCTGCCTGCTCACCTTCTCTTCTCCCTCCAAGTGTCTCATTCTGATTCACCTTTTCCTCCATGTCTCCTGTGGCTGTTTTTTCGGACTCACCTTATTCCTCCCAGGAACGCCGTGTTTCAGGGATAGGTAAGCCTGTCCCATGCTCTTCCTCCGACCCTCCTGTTAACTCCCGCTGCCCCAAGCCAGAGGAGCCCCCTCACAGCCCATCACCTCCGATGAAAAGGCAGGTAGGGCTCCTTCCTGCAGATGCTATTTTGCTGAAGCCAAGGGAGACTTTGGGGGTGGGATCAGTGGCTCCCTCCATCCCCCACATAGGGCCGATCGTAGATTCTCTGGCCAAGCCGACACAGCTTGAGGTGACCACCCTGATCTATAAGATTAACTATGAATGCAGCCCTTGAAATAGATGTCGTTGATTCCTCAGTCAGTCAAGGGTATTGACTGACCAACTCTTGGTGTTGCCGCTTAAAAGAAAACGAACAGCACCATGTGAGCATTTTATGGATGCCCAGTGGCACTGAGCTGTCTGCTCAGCCTGACCCAGCGAACAGGCGATTTCCACATCAATGAGTCATGGTTGGAATGGGCTGGGGTGGCCATGCGGCTACACCCATTGAAGGGATGAGGCTGGAGCGTGGTGAGGCCCTTCTCCGTGCAGGACCTCTGTTAGTGATGGAACAGAACCACTATGAGTGACCACAGATTCCAAAGACATCTGGTCAGCGTTAGGCATTTTATGTTGCTTCTGGTGGTAGATTTGGAGTGGAGCAGGTGTGAATCTGACTCTACAATTTTACATCTGTGCCGTAAGATCCACCTGGGGAGCTTTTATTTAAAAAAAAAAAAATACCGACGCTCACTCAGAACAATCACTAGGCATCTCTGGGCACTGGGTAATTAGCATCAGAGGCAATCAGCTTCTTGGTCTTGGTGTGGACCATGACCCTCCTGGAGTAACCAACCTACCGCAGATTTGGGTATTTTTTAAAAGTACCCTAGATGATTCCAATGTACAGCTAGGGCTAAGAACCAGGTTTGGCTCTGGGGTCTAGGGTGAGGTGCAGGATGTGTTTATTCATGAGGGCATCAGGTAATGCTGATGCAGGTGGCAACTGAGCCACCCCAAGACCAGTTGGGGATCTTTCTTAGGGTGTGCCTGGAGTGTCCTGTCTCTGGTACTCATGGGGTTCCTTGCAGCAGGGTCTGTAGAAAGGTGACAGGAGGGAAGGGAGCTTCATCTTCCCTCTCTCCCAGTTCTTCTCTGTACTTTCGACGGGGCAGGTGCTCAGAGAGCTTAAGCAAGTGCCTGCTGGTGGGGAGTATCCTAGCAGGCCATGGAGGGCCAGGGCCAAGTCTGACCTGGAGCTGGGCGGGCCAGAAAATCTCGGCACCCTGCCTCCTACCTGCCAGGGAGCGCTGGCCCTTTCCGGGGTGCTGCGGCGGCTACAACAAGTGGAAGAAAAGATTCTTCAGGTGAAAGATCACTCCTCTCTGCCTGTGTCCCTCCCTGTCTGTTGACTTCCTGTGCTCCCTCCACCCTGTCCTGATCACTCCCTGTCTCCTATCCTGCCTAGTGTGGAGAGTCTCCCTCACCTCTCCCCAGATGGTCACCCTCAAAGTCTCCGTCACTCTCTCTTTTCTCTCTCCTTTCCCACCTTGACTGCAGAAGAGGGCTCAGAACTTGGCCAACAGAGAGTTTCACAAAAAGAACATTAAGGAGAAGGCCGCTCACCTCGCCTCCATGTTTGGACACGAGGAGGATTCCTCACAGGTAAACCCAGGGCTTGCAGGAACCCAGGTGCTGGACATCCAGCCAGGCGAAAATGAACCAGACTCTAGAGCTTGCTATCCTCCTTTCTCTTTCTGGTAGCACAGTGACTATTCTTTTTTCAAGCTACTAAAGTGTCTGACCTGGCATCTAAAAAAGACCCAAATGCAAAGATTCAAAATAAGTCAATACATCATGTCAAGGAGAAAGTCACGGCAGGAAAGTAAGCCCAAGTCCAAGGAAAATGTTACCAAGCAGGAACACAGACTGATACACCCTAGAGAGTTTTGAAATGGGCTGTGGGTTTCCTAAGGGCCACTGCAAAAAGAGAATGCTGTTCAGTTGCAAGACTCACAGTGCCTTTAAGGTGAAAGCAAACCAGGTGCTCCTTCTGTTTGAGGGCCCTGATCAGGGAGGCACTGAATGATAAGGCCACAGACATGCCATGACCTGGGGTCTCCTTTGCAAAGGGCAACATCAAGCTAGAATGGAAATCCCTGCATTACATAGGATTACACAGCCCCCTCCAAGCCAGTTACTTATTTGGAAAAGAAGGGAGCTAAAAGAGCCGGTAATGAGGCCCGTGGTGGATACAAGGGTGATAATCAGCCTGTCTGTAGAATGTTTCTCCTCTGCCACTTTCACTCATTCTCCTCACCTCTGCTACTTAGGATAGATCCTTCACATGTGGTTCATTTTTAGGGTTCCACGTGGCTGCCGGGAGGCCAGCACAGTTGTCTGCCCACAGCTGCAGAGGTCCCGCTGTGTCCATCTGCCCCAGAGAGGGCCAGGGTTCCCCTTTCCTAAGCTTGCAGCTGCTCCTTTACACCAAGCTCCAGGGTGAGGGCTTCAGGAATTAGCTGGCCTCTGGAGCAGATGTAGGCAGGCACCGAACGAATCTGCTTGAGCTATTTTAATGTGAAAAACGAGCTGGAGTAGTTGCAGCTGAATGCAGTGTAAACCAGGAGCCACATAATCCTGCTTGGCTCCAAAGACAAGTTTCTGTTTAGTCTTGAGAGACTCGAGAGACAGGCCCAACATCTCCCCCACAGGAGGCACAGATAGGGCTGTCTGGTCAAGGCCTACAGGGCTGTGCACGCCCCTGGATAATCCTAGTTTCCTCTATCTCTGTTCTGTGCAGAACAAACTGCTCTCTAAAGGCCTGTCTCATACTCATCCTCCGTCTTCTCCCTCTTGCCTTCCGTCTCCTGATCCAACTGCTACTTCCTCTCCACCGACTGTTGACTCTGCTTCTCCTGCCAGAAAGGTAGTTGTCCTGAACCATGTGCTGCCCACCCCCCTTGCATGCTCTCATGCTCTGCTTGGCCGGCACAGAAAAACATCTGGAGCTTGGCTTGGCTGCCATGAAAACTTGTAGGCTGTTTTGCTAGAGTCCTGGATTAGGTTTTGGTTTTGTGTTAGAGCATGCAACACTGAGTACAGTCAGTGTGCCGAGCACCTGCCAAACAGGGCTCGCTCCTCCAGGACTTAGCCAGGGACCCATCAGATGCCAAGCACTATGTCAGATGCTAAGAAAACAGAAAAGGGGGAGGTCTAGTTCCCTGACTAGTTTGGATGAAAATAGCACATTATCATAGAAATCAGTCATTATCTTTCCTTTTCCCTTTTTTCTGCTTTTGCAGTGCTGGAGATTGAACCCAGGGCCTTGTGCCTGCTGGGTATGGGTTCTACCACTGAGCTGCATCCCTAGCCCAGCAAGTCACATTTTACTACATACAATTGCTAATATTTGGTTGGTTTAACCTAACGAAATGACAGTTCCCAGTGGTAAACCTTTTACTATTAATTCTGTAAGAGGTATAAAGGGCAAGATTGTGGAAACAGAGAGAAGCCTTGGAAAGATTCACAGAGAACATACTATGGGAACTGGGTGCTAAAGGTCACACAGGAGGATTTTGCTCGAGAAAAGTGTAGGTCTAGGGTGTTTTAGCATGGAGCGAGCCTGTGCAAAGGCAGGCAGGCAGGCAGCACTGGCAAGAAGTGGAAAAGACAGAATGTTTGATGTGGTCTGAATTTGGGACTGAACATATTTGGGGGGCTGTGGGGAGCAAGGAGGAAGATGAGCATGCTCTGTGTTAAGGAATCTCATCTTCCCCCCCTGGGTTACACTCAGCCATGGAAGGATCTGCTTTGTGTTCTAAAAGGATGAGTTAGGTAGTCACGCACCGGTTGGCTTGGAGGAAGGCAGGAGGCACAGAGCTGACTTTGGTTAAGTATGTAATGGAACCCATCATCTGTGAGCAATGATTTGGGTCTGAGACACTATTTCACCTCTGGGATGATGTGTCCTCAGCTGGACTATGCTCCTCCGAACACACCCAAGCTGTCCAGTTCCCACAGAGGCTCAACGTGCAGCACCGAATGTCCCCTTGCCCTGGGTACTGCTGGTTTACTTCTGTTCTGTCAGGCACAAGCCAATTTGTGCTAGTGCATAAAGGAAAATTGAGAGGCCACCTCTATGTGTGTAGCTGGGGGGTTCCACCCCAGTGACCCCTGCTCTGTGGAGAGAAGGTAGGGTCCCCAAGAAAGGGGAAAGAGTGTGACTTGCTACACTAGCTGAAAGGTCCCCAGTGTGAGTGTGAAGCACCCCCGAGGAGAACAGTAGGAGGTGACAAGGAGAAGAAACACAAACACTTCCCGTCTTAGTAGCCATGGTCGAGATGCCCAGCAGCCTATTCCAGGGTAGCCCCGGGTCAGCTGTGTGGCTCTAAGTCTCCCTCCATTTCTCCTCAATATAAGAGTGGTCCTGACTGTCATGATGGTGAGCTATCTGGATGGAGACAGGCCTTTCTGTTATCACCAGCAAGGTTTCAGGACAGCCTTATTTGTCCAGCTAGGGAGAGGAGTGTGACCCAGGGAATACTTCCTACTATAGGAGAGGTCATTGGCACCGTTGACAATATGGGACAGGTGAGCACACCTGGCCACACGCTGGGGCGTGGCTTGTTCTCCCAGCTGCTCAGCCAGCCCACACCTTTCTTCTCCCTGGCTCCGTCCCTCTGGCTGCCTGGGCCCTTCTGAGCAGAGCCTGTCTAGGGCCGCTCTCACCCCTGCCTTTCTCCCCACCCCCCAGGAAGGCCTGGCTTGGTCCTTCACAGCTGATGGCAGATGTGAGCAAGAGCAGCCCCCTCTCTTCTCAAGCTCCTGCCTTGGTTCCCAGTGGCACTGGCTTCTCTAAGTGGTGGCAGGAGGCAGCCTGCTGGGAACGTGAGGAGCAGCAGATACTTGCTGTATCTGAATAAGCTTATCTCCCAACACATCCTGGTCAAGCCCTGCCAAGGCCTTCCCCAGGGAGCTCTGGAGACGGCTCTAAACCAGCGTCACTCCTTAAGCCAATGAGGGGACGTTTACCCATCCAACAACCATTTATCAAATGGCAACATAGTGTGGGGGACTTGGGCTCTTGGGAGAGGTACTCATGAACCAGAGTTAATTTCTGCCCCGATGAGGCTTTCATTCTAGTAGGGGGAAGTAAGCAATCAAAAATCATATGACATATAAGCAAATTCTGTAATAATACGTCAGAAGATAAGACAAGACTTTCTATGGTAATGTGAGAGCCAGTAGCAGGGGCCCAGAGCTCTGGGGGAAAGGTCCACTTTGAAATGGGGTGGGCAGCAGGGATCTTCCTGTGCCCTGAGGACTGAACAGGAGAAGATAACAAAGGCTCAGGGATGATACCAGGACCCAGTGCTGCGATCCCTCTGATCCACAGGGCCAAGTGTGAATGGAGGCCTTGTTAGAGGGACCAGCCCCATACTGTGTCCATATGAAGCCCTCTACCCTGGGGCAGGGAAGGTACCAATGGGACTCCCTTTGGGGTGTCCAACCCCAGATCCTCTGGCCCCCATCTCTCAGTTTTGTTCCTTGTGTCTCCCAGGTTATAGGAATTATCCCCTCTTTTTTCTTATCCTATCTCCCAACCCAACCTTGGCCGTCAGATGATGGTACAATTAGGCTATTTTGACAGCTCCCACCTTATTAATTAGAAGCTGATGTACCTTTCAAGTGTGGCAAGGAGTGATCAGGGACTCAGAAGGGGCCCCTCTAGGACACAGGGCGAGTCACAGAACCTCTCCGTGCCTTAGTTTCTCCAAGGGCCCACACTCACGGTCCCTGCAGGTCTCACTGCAGGTCCATGGTAGGCAGCCAGGGATGGAGTAGGAATCTTCAGTGGCAAGCAGTCTTGGGAAGGGTCTTGCCAGCACCCCCACCACCATGTCCACACTTTATTTTCTGCCTCTCCCAACCCTCCTTCAACATTGATTCAACACTGGGCTTTGCACAGGCAGAGTGTGGCAGAATCCAACCCCCTCTGAGGAGAGAACCAGCTGCCCCTTAAAGTAGACAAGACTTGATGACAAACATCTTTATTTCATCTTGATGGAGCTCAGGGCATCTCTCCCCAGGAGAGGGCCTGGAGTCTTCATGCTTCCTCCAAAGAGACCACAGTGATTGCCCAGTAACCCTAGGCTGCCTCGATTCCGGAAAGCCCAAAGACGAAAAATGTACTTGAAGCTGATGCTTAGTCCCTGGCAACCTCCTGGCAGGCAGTGTGTTGTGTTTCTGCCTTGGAGCCCACATCCCAGCTCTGAGAATCCAGGACTAATCCCTCCTTGGGATTAGTGGGCGCAGACTTGGCCAAACCTACCATGAGGAACAGGTGTTCCCCAGGGATGTGAACTCGAGCCACCAGCTCCAGGAGAGCCAGCCAGGGTCTGCCTGCAGACTGCACTTGCACTCTCAGCTGATGCTCTGCTTTAAAACTCAGAGTGGTCCTTTTGGTTTTCTGGCTCAAACAACCACAGGGAGTCCCGAGGCCCTCTCGTGTAGGACCCAGACCTTTTCTAGAACCTGACTTTCAAAGCCTTGGGCTATGGGCCATGTCCAGTCTTATGTCCCCAGCATCATTTTTCTCACCCATCCATCAAACCAGCTTCCTCTAGTGGTCTCCACTCTCTACCAACCATTCATTTCTTTCTTAGAGAAGAGACTGTGCTGACTTAACCTGCTGCATGCTGCTGCCATTTGCCCAAGGCTGCTGAGCTCTTGCAAAAATAAGTTAGTAGCCAAGCATTTGCACAGCTGAGCAGGGGACCTCTTCAATGAGCTAGAAACTGTGGTTCAGTCCTCTTATGTCAGAAGATCAATGAGCATTGCAGAAAGAGTTTTCTCTACCTTAAGGATGTTTGTTTTCCAACTGGATTTGCAAGGTTTACTCTAGAGATTTGCATACTAGAGGGAAGCGGAATTGCTGGGCCAGTCTGACATTATTGCATCGGGTGCAGGGATAAATCAAAGCTGCCTTCAACTTCACTGTCTCTCCATCCTGGGCACAGAGCTAGGCAACTTTTGGAGATCTTCAGTGTGCATCCCAGCCTGGGGGATGAATTTGAATTTGCTGAGTACCTGGTATATGTCCAGGAGGGACACATATGAGTTTGGAATCAGCTTGAGCTTAAAGTACCAGTTACTCAACTGTGTGACTTTGGACGAGGCAATGTTCCTCTCTGAGCCTTAGTTCCCGAACGCATAAAGTGGAGACATTGACAGTTACTCCAGAGGGTGATTTTTGGAATACTTCAGTGACCTGACGTATAAAATGCCAGAAGTAATGTTCTCTCTTCTAGAAGAAACTTCTAGAAGAAAGCTCATTTATTTGAATTGTAGGCCAATTCCTCCTTTCTAAAGGTTTCCATTTCTGGTTTCCATTTCTATGCCAGCCACTTAAGAGCAGTGCCACCTTAGGTGATTTAGCCTCCCTGAGCCTCAGCTGCCTCCCCATCAAAGGCTAGGAGAGCTCAATGCATATGACCAGCAGCACTGTGCCTGGCACCAGGGATGAAAGTGGCAGAGGTGGGCTCCCACTGGGAGATCATGGCCCCAAAGGCTGTAATTTCTAAACCCCTCAAAAAAAGACAGTTTTGGTTTCTTGCTCTCCCCCTCCCCTGCCCTTGGTCAGATAGCAGAGGAATCGGGTCCAGCAGCCTGCCCTCAGATGTTTTCTCTTCCAATGACCCCTCAGTGAGGATGTCCTTGCCCAGTGGCCCAGGAGCCCTCTTCTGGCCCTACCTGTGGACTCCTCTCCTTCCCACAAGCTCTCAGCTCCTGGGCCCTGACAGCTCTACCCGCATCCCTGCCTGACCCGGGTGGGCTTGCCTGGTGCGCACAACACCCACACAGCCACAGGGAGTCAACTCTGTGGGGAGGCAGCCTGGACACCTGGTATTCTTGGCTGAGTTCCTG